AGAATAAAAAATAAAACAGAATAGAATAGAATAGAATTTGAATACAATAAAATTTGAAGAGAATAGAATTTGAATAGAATTTGAATTTGAATAGAATTTGAATAGAATTAGAATTAGAATTTGAATAGAATTAGGATTAGAATTAGAATTAGAATTAGAATTAGAATCAGAATTAGAATTAGAATTAGAATTAGAATCAGAATTAGGATTAGAATTAGAATTAGAATCAGAATTAGAATTAGAATTAGAATTAGAATTAGAATCAGAATTAGAATTAGGATTAGAATTAGAATTAGAATCAGAATTAGAATCAGAATTAGAATTAGAATTAGAATTAGAATTAGAATCAGAATTAGAATTAGGATTAGAATTAGAATTAGAATCAGAATTAGAATTAGAATTAGGATTAGAATTAGAATTAGAATTAGAATTAGAATTAGAATTAGAATTAGAATTAGAATCGAATTAACCCTTTAAAGCTGATCTGGAGCAAACCCAGCTCTGGGGTTGATGTTTGCATTCCCAGTGCCCTGCACATCCCTGGGCACAGCACAGGGAGCTTTAACCCCAAAAACTCCAGGATTTCCAGGTTTGGGGTTTTTTTGGGTTTTTTTTTTTTGGGCTGTCAGACCCTCAGGAACCTGGAGAGGTTCAATCCCAAAAAGTCCTTTGGGATTTAAAATCACCCCCAAAATCCCAAAACCCCAAAGCAGGAGTGAGCAGAGCCTGGAGCAGGGATCAATCCTAACCCTGGGGGTTTCTCCTCGTTATTTCATCCCTTTTTTAAAATTATTTTTTAAATTTGAATTTTAAATTCTTTTATTTTATTTTTTTTCAATAAAATCACTGGATGCTGATATTTCTCCCCTCAGGGAAATGGTTCAGGAGGGGGAATTTATCCAGGATTTTCTGGCACACAGCTTTGGACAGTTGAAATAATTTATTGGAATAATTTCCCATCTGTTTGGAATTATTAAATATGAAAAGCTGGTGTTGCACAATCTTGACCTTTTTTTTTTTTTTTTTTTTTTTTGGATTTATGGCCAGGAGAAATCGGTGGAGGATTTTAGGGAGCACCTTTATAAATTCTGCCTCAGTCACAAACAGAATTTTTGAACTTCTCCTCGGTGAGGTTTGGAAGTAAAATGAAATTAAAGCAGATTTTTTAAAGGGTATTTCCCATTGGAAAATATTCCTGTGCAGGAATATCCTGAAATGTTTGATTTCAGTTCTGGACTCCTGGCAGGTGCTAAAATCTCCCCCCTGTGAAGAAACATCGGGAAGAGCATCTGGAATCTTCTTTAAAAATGATTTTTTGGGATTTTTAAATGATTTTTGGAGATTTTTAAAATGATTTTTTTT